GATCAAGCATTAGTGTGTGATATACCTTAAGTTTTTCTGCCTTCTCTTTCTTTATCTGTTTCTCGGTTTTTTTCTGAGTCACAGCGATGGCCGCCAGCGCTGCTTCCTCATCTTCCTTTGAAGGAGCCGACTCTTCGTCATTATTCTCCTCCTCCTCCTCCTCCTCCACTAAACCTTCCACTTGCTCACGAAGATTTGTCTCCTAAAAAACAAAAACATTTCAAAATAAACAAGTGAAATTTCAGTGAATGTAAAAACCACTGCTAGGAAGAAGATTATAATAGAAACCTCTGTAGCTTTGTCCTCTTTATTGATGGCCAGCTGCCTCTCCAACTTGTCCTCTTGCTTTTTTTTCTGGACCTCCACCTGATGGGCTTCCTGGAGCAACGCCTGGGTTTAAAGGACAACAACCAGATGGTTTGGTTTAAATCAGCAGTGAAGCAGACATAACATCATACTGGTTATAATTTGACTTTCCAAACGAAGAAAATGTTGCATAATGAAATACGAGAAGAACAGCTTTCTCTGTCCAAGTCAAGTTGGCTGTAAAATTTCTCAGGTCTAGCAAAAAAAAAAAAAAATCAAATGTTGGTGCTGCTAGGATAGTCCTGAACAACAATTGTGCTGCTGTCATTTTAAATATTAACCACAGTCTAGGTAGGTTTAAGATTACATTGGTCTTGCAAAAGTATTCAAACTCCTGCTTCAACTGCACCAACACAAAGTAGCAAACAATTACTCAGAAAGAAAATGATGCACGGTTTTCAAAATAAAAAAAAATAAAAAAATAGGGAACTGCGGCTCAGGAGGTTGTCCAGAAGAAAGCCATGAGAAATGTAGCGGACACACAGCAAACATGTAAACAGACTGTGTTAAAGTTTTAGCAGGAACATTGAAACTGGTCATAGTTGATGAGAGATGAACAGAGTTAAATCCAGGAAAATCCTGGAAACACGTTAGAAGCTTCAAAAGACTCAGAACAATGACAACCATCCTAGTTGTTCTAACTTTAAAATATGAAAAGGTACAAAGGGTGTAAATACTTTGATACCACTTTAATAACATACAAGTTTCCTGAGAAGTCATATACTTTGTGTTTTGAGTTACCTGGTGGGAAAAGAAGTCCGGGTTGTAGGATCCACCCGGAGAGATCACCTCCACAGCAGGAAGAACGGACGGCTTCTCATTCAGCTTCTCTGGACGCTGGTGAAGAACGCCATCATCAACATTCACGCACATGTGACTAATATATCAGATAAACTAAAAACAAACGACTAAAACAAACTATGGTTAGTCTCACCTTAACCAACTTCTTCCCAGTCTGTTGCAGATACCAGGGATCAGCTGAAACTTTGGCTGCAAAAGGAGAAAAGTTAATGTTGCATTGCAGCAATTCTATACAATTCAAGTCAATAATAAGTCAACAGATGGTATGTAGACCCTGACACTACAGGGGTGTGACTGGAAACAGAGGGGGGTCCAGTACATGTCCAGTTTGCACCCCATACATGTCCAGTTTTGCACCCCTGTTGCTTCAGCTGCCATTCAAACTTTTGATTCCTAAAAAATCTTTAGATTGTTTTCTGTCCTCAGATCCCAGAGGAATGTTCACACAACACTCATCTGAGCTCCAGGTTGGTCTTCACATTCCCACAAAGGAAATACTGCGAGCGCAAGGATGGGATCATCACTGGACACACACTTTCTCACACACACACACACACACACGTTTGTGTTGCTATCTTTGTGGGGACTTTCCATTGACTTCCATTCATTTCTACAGCCTAAACCTTACCTTTACCCTTTTCTTAACCCTAACCATCACATACCTAACCCTAACCAAAACTCAATTCATACCTTAGCCCTAAATCTGACCCCTGACCCAAAAACAGGGTTTCCCCACGAGGAGCGATTGGTCCCCACAACGTAGTATATGTCAGGAAAATCGTCCCCACAAGGTATTACAAACAAACGCACGCACGCACGCACGCACGCACGCACGCACGCACGCACGCACGCACTCAACTCACGTTCTTGTCCCCATATGTCGTAATAGTCTCGGTCTGGGTTGTTGTTGGCCTCTGTCACAGCCTTCTTCACGGTCTTGTCGACGGGCCGTCTGTTCAGCAGCCGTTTCTGTTTCCGTGGCACCACGCCTTTGGCTGCCAGCTGCTCGGCCTTCTGGGCGATCCGACGGAGTTTCTTGGCATTTGGTTGCTGGTAGGCCAGAATACTGACAGGGGAGGAAGAGGACGGGTTTAGCTGACTCTGCGATGCTGGAGGATGGAGTGAAGACGGCGTAAATGCAGCAGCATGACGAGCTACGAGGCGGGTGTGTTTCTAAGCCCTCAGATCCCAAGAGACTGTTCACACAACAGACTCCTGAGCTTTCTGACTGCTGTCTTCACATTTCCGAAAGGAAATACTGGAAGTGCAAGGATGAGATCATCACAGGACACACACATCTCTGGTCTCTAACATTGAAGTAGTTTGTTTAAAATAAGCTGAAAATGTTTGATTCATAAAGGGCTGGTTCATAAGAAATCTATATAAATCCTTTCCAGTCTGCTGAGTGATGGGACTGAAAAAATGTTCACTGTTATTTAATTCAGCTTATACAACACACCACTATAAGTTACATTTTAATTTCTAATGTAATAGTAGTTTCACTTCCCTATTTGTCAAAACAAGAACACTTATCTTAAACATAAATATCCTTTATGAAAGTGTGTACCTTTGATTCAGTGGTGCTGTATGATTCCATTTGTCTGTCAATTTCAGGTTGGTACAAATAATTTTTAGTATTTTTAGTATCAGCAAAGCTAACATTTAATCAGATAGTGAAAGCTTATGCTAACCAGGAGGGTTAATACTTTACTGTTGCAGGTAGAGAAGCTTTAGTAATCTTTTTAATGTTCCCCTCAAACATCAGAGAAGTAGAATTAGCTTGTAGCTCTAGCTCAGCTAGAATCAGGCTTCCTTCTGCAATTTTATGCTCTTTTAAAACTTCTTATTTAAGTCCACAGGAGCCTCATCCCAGATCAAAGGGCACACAGACGGTGCGAACAAATATTTGATCTGTTTAACAATGAGCCGGAAAAAGAAAGAAAAATATATATATTTTAATTGATTTATAAAAGGTCATTGACAGGTACTGTAATTCCAGAGGTGAGTGGACATAACTAGCTGTTTAAAGGAGAACAGGGCGATTATATTGCACAATAAAGTACTATACATCACTTTCCTGCAGTTGTAAAAAAAAAAAAAAAACAAATGTATATAGCAAAGGTGACTTGAAAGAAATTTGAATTTGTAATTTGATGTCTTTAAATTGGGGTTCTGCCTCTTTAAGAACCTCCTACTCTCTCCAACATTCGGACATCAGCACATCTTCACCACAATGCTTTTCGTCATTAATAATGTTCTTAGCTCAAAAAAGTCTATTTTACATAATATCCTCCTTTAAATGAGATTGGATGAAGAGAACATGTTAGAGTTAGGTGTAAATTAGGCTCCCTGTTCAGGTAAAAGACTGAAATATCTACTTTAATTCTAAGATTTACACAGTTTGCAGGTATCCTGTGTTTTTGGGCTGTACTTTTTTTCTTTCCAAAAACATTTTGATTTTATTCTTTTAATTGTAGTGAGGCAGAATCACATGTATGTGGTTTTACACACTTGAAGGAAGTTAACCTTCCATCAAAACACTTTATTTGTAAGGAGGAAATGGTTTCTTTTAATCACAGCTGATTGATACTTACTCTTTAGGAGGAGGAACCAGAGAATCTGGCTGAAGGATGAGGTCTATCCTCAAAGGACGTGAAGCTTTCCCTCTTCTCTTCTTCCCTTCATCAGCTTGTGGAGTTTCAGCTAAAAAAAAAACACACACACACAAACAAACAAACAAAAACACATTAAATAGCGAATTAAAACTCAGAAACAATTAATTTCCAACAGAGTTATTGGCCTAGGTCACATACTGTTGTAGTTACCTTGTGGTTGTGGTTTCTCTGGCTGTCCAAGATCCAAAAAAAACAAGCTGTCGTCTGTTTTCTCAGATAGCAGACCCCTGAATGAGAAAACTTATCACATTAAGACACGTTTAAAGCCTCAATATTTTCATAGAATCACAACAATTATTTGTCAACACGCTAGGCTGCAAGGTAAGTAGCTCAAAAAGGCACATGCAAAAGAGAAAACACAAAAAATAAACATAAAGAGTTGACACAGTTTCCGAGGAACTTAAAGCCTCGGTTTTTCTTCCTCACCCGGTGGTTCTCTCCTGGTGCCTGATGTCCTCTAAAAACTCATCTACGTCATTAACATCGCTGTATTTGTTCCAGTTCTTCTTTTTATTCTTGTTCACTCGTTTTCTCCGGCTACCAACAGACGCTGTCGTATCCGAAGGGGACTTAAAACTTAAAAATCCCGGCTGGGAGGAAGCCACGCGTTTGAGCCTCCTGCGAGCCGCCATTTTGAAAGAATAGAAAAACAAAGAAAAGCGTGACGTTTCGTCTTTTTTAAGGGCGGTGTGAAACCCGTGGCGCCATCTGCAGGATTGATGGTGTAACAGTTGATTTTTATCTAAAATATAGATTTTTAAATATAATAATCATAATTTACTAAATAATTGCAACATTTTAAATCAAATTAGATGTAATAAATTATAGAAATACATGTAAAATTATAAGAATTTAGAATGTTTTCACAAGTTTAAAATGTATTTTAATACAAATATAATAATAAACATATTTAAAATGTAGTAAATTGAAAAATTTATTGCCATGTATTCAATAGTTACTCATATTCTTAAGATTGTGTTCAGATAATTTATTTTCTTCTCATTTTAATTGTGTGACTTCTGATAAAGTTTCCATAAAAAATAACTTTTTAATTCTAAAAAAACAACAACTAGTAAATTAATCGATTGTAGTGACTGGTAAAAACTTGTTGGCCTACATTGCCTGCCTGTAATTGTTTACCATGTTGCAGCATGTGTGTAACATGTTACTGCCAAATGCATGATGGGAAATGAGTCCCTTCTTGCTTTCCTATGTTCATTTTCTTTTTTTCCCTCCCCGCATATTATTGCGAGAACAACGCTTTAGAGACTGAAGAATAAATTCGCATTTTGAAGCCGAAATCTGTCTCTGACTCCCCAAAGGTAAGCGTCACTGTTTGAATAAAAGTCCATTCTCACATTTAATGTCGTGTTAATCCCAAAATAACGCGGTTTTGTCGTTTATTTTCGGTGAAAAAAAGAAAACGCAGAGCTGTTGAGGTATTATGTGCCTGCTCGGGGAGTCAAGGGACCTGAGCAGCTCTTGTGATCTTGGTTGAATTTGACTCGAAAATGCGCCTAAACTGAGGGGCCATCTGACAAAATATTGTCCACCAACTGGTCCCCTGACATGTCTAGTTGCGTCTTCGAAAATTATTTCCCACTTATATGCTGAAGTTTTCTTGTTCTTCCGTCGTTTTTATCGTCTGCTTTTTTCGTTCGCGACGATTTTTTTTCCCTTCCCCTTTACAATCTTCTAGGCAGCAGCCAGCCATCGTCTATGCGTACGCTCGTTTCTCAGCACCGGGCAGCCGGCGAAGGCGGGATGGGCTGGTTTTCCGTTAAAATAGCTCATTCTGTGTAAAATAGACAAGGCGTGTGAGCAACCGGTGAGCCCACTATGAAGAAGCGAACGAACCCACGCTCAGTACTTAGAGGGTGGGCTTTACATGGTGAACGTTGCGTTGTGAGTGGTGGAGAGGGTCACAACGTCCCACCCATCGACATAAAAATCTTAATCTAATTGGTTCAGCCAATAGAGAGATCGGATCTGATTGGACATGTTTGCTGTCGTCATGTACGCACTTCAATTACATAAGCTACTGACGATATTACTTAAAAACGAGCTTCAGGTGCAGACTTTAAATAAAAAGATATTCCGATTCCGTTAAAGCCTGTTATGTAAAGTTCTATAAATTAAAAAAAAAGAAATGAAAAACAGCGAGCTAACCGTAAAAATGGAGCTCCACAGTGCTCACATATTGTACAATAAAAGAGTGGACTTGTTTATTTGAGTCAAACTTTGTTTATTTTCTTCTGATGATCAGTAACAGCCATGGCTCGTACCAAGCAGACCGCCCGTAAGTCCACTGGAGGCAAAGCTCCACGTAAGCAGCTGGCCACAAAGGCAGCGCGTAAGAGTGCCCCTTCCACTGGTGGGGTTAAGAAGCCCCATCGTTACAGGTGAGTGTAATAAAAAAATATATTTTATTTAGTTTATGAACTAAAAGGCATATTTTTTTAAGTGGTGTTCTTCTGTTTGTTTATTTATACTATTTTTTCCAGGCCTGGTACTGTGGCTCTGCGTGAGATCCGTCGTTATCAGAAGTCCACTGAGCTGCTGATCCGTAAGTTGCCCTTCCAGCGTCTGGTGAGAGAGATCGCCCAGGACTTCAAGACCGACCTGCGCTTCCAGAGCGCAGCCATTGGAGCCCTGCAGGTCAGCGGTGCTTACTGTGGAAAACTTCCTTCACCTGTTACCATTTTTTTTTTTTTTTTAAATCCTGTAATCAAATACTAAAGAGATGTTTGGTGATCTGCAGGAGGCCAGCGAGGCTTACCTTGTGGGTCTCTTTGAGGACACCAACCTGTGCGCCATCCACGCCAAGCGTGTCACCATCATGCCCAAAGACATCCAGCTGGCACGTCGCATCCGTGGAGAGCGTGCCTAAAGACGTTTCCTGACCTATGATATTCTGTCCTCTCATTTTCCTTCTTCTATATCTAGTAGTTTGGTTTGAGGTTCTATATATAAATATCTATATCATATGATTGTGATAACCGTAATTGTGTGATTATGTCTTCTGTGGTGCTACTAGTAGCAGATTTTCCATAGCAGTATCATCAACTATGCTTCAAACTTTTAATCTTAGTTCCAGTTAGTAAAAACACAGGAACACCTTGTTACCTCGACAAATAAGGTGTTTTTGGGGGAAATAAATAATGTTTTATCTGAAAGGGGCATAGGAATTAGCATTAAGGTGGACATTTTCATTCGAGAGCGGTTGACTAAAGTTATCTTATTTTTTTCCCTGTTTAAATAGAAATTAGTTGTACTAGTATTGATTCTTTTTTTTAAAACAATAATGGTGTATTTCTACTGTTGCTGTTCAGTGTATCAAAATAGAAAGAAAAATTGATTCTGGTTGTCAATTAGAAACGTCATGTTGTGATGACACTGCATGGTTCAGCAGACTACAAGCGGCATAGATGTAGCAGACCTGTGTTGATCATGTTTTAATTTGCAGACAAGTTGATTATGTCTGGGTATTGTTTTTGTTCCTCTCTCAGGTTGATACAATAACCTAATTTTTGTGCTTATGATTTATGTATTCGGTCATTTTTATGAGCAAAATATTTGTACTCTGGACTTCACATTCAAGCATAATAAAGAGTTTCTTGTGGTTGATAGAGCAGAGTCTGAAGATCTTTTAGATATTGTATAGTTACAGTGGGTCAAGACATTGGAGTTTCATGAAATTCAGATATGAAAACAAATGTATGAAATTATCTTATTTCTTTTATTTGAAACAGAATACAACATTTCTACTACTGGAAACATAATGCAAATTATTACAATTACTGTCCTATCTTTATCATGTTGTTTTGATACATAAGCTACACATGGTAAAATGTAGTTTCCAATTAACATGCTTGATGTGCAAAATATTAACTACGTACCATTATTTAATAGCTACTTTAGGAGTATAACAAGCAAATAATCAGTGAGAGAGAGCCTGTTGGAGCTTCACCTGCAGTAATGTACCAAACTTAAAAACAAGGACAGTCATGGCTTTATTTTTATGTTCTGTTTGTCTTGACAGGATATATTTTTCTAAAAAGCTGAATTTGGCATATTTGTAAACTAGGAAAAGTTCAGCGGTTTTCTTTCAGCCAGCTGACCAGCATCGTGCGACATGTGTGGGAGGGGGAGCATTGTGTTATCCCGTGATCCATCCAGCAAGAGAAAACCGGTATCTACAGCACATCTGGCATTTCATTGAAAAAATAAAATGGACTTTAGGGATAGTTTTACAAAGAATGTATATGATTTTGAAAAGTAGTTTAATATTATTTTATTTTCTCCCAACCATAAATAACTTCTAGTAGCCAAATATAATAGAAAACAGCTAAGTACTATGAAACATCTGCAGAAAAATACATTAAAAAAGTAAATCATTTATTTACTGTTTATTTCCAACAAGTAACGTCTCGCTTATAAAAGTTACTTTCATTACAAAAAGGTCACCGTAAGTCGAAGTTATTAAAGTAAACATCCGGAGATGCGTTTTTCCTCCTTCAGTCTGATTGATGTAAATCGTTTTATGCGGTGTGGTGTTAAAACCATCATTTCTCATTTAGTCGCTTACGGTCACCTCCATGTTCAACGCAAAAATGGTTTCAAAATGTCAAAGAGCAGCGGCACTGCCATAAATTCAGTTCATCTGATCAATATCCAAAGTCCCGCTTTATTAGGCACATAAAATAATCCAGAAAGTAGAGTGTGACCCCGGAGTGGCCCCGCTGTGTCAAACCGTGATGATCGCGGTGATGTATGAGCAGTGACGCAGCGGCCATTTTCCCGCTGGACGCTGCTTCCCATTGTGGATAGGAAGAACAAAACAGTCAAGCGAAACATTACTGACGACTTACACTCACTTTCACTACAGGTAAGTCATTCAAAACGTGTCCTTCTACAAATGTAAATAAATTACATATTTTTTTAAAGTTGTATTTTTTAAAATTCGTGGTTTTATTGTTGTGAAAAAGCGTTCGTTTCGTCGTGCGGGTAATAACAGTCAGCGACGGTGAAATGCAGTCTTTTCTGCAGCTGCTTGGAAGAAGGGGGAATTCACTTTCAAATTATGCGCCGATTCAGCTCGGTTCTACGCCGCTATTACGGACCATTCAGCTCACCCATACGTATCAATGCCTTCTTTGAAATGTCTTCTGACTTGTTGTTCTATTGAGTAATACGATGGATGTAAGGTTATTGGTAAAAATGAACTTGTTTATGTGCTACTCCCTCGCTTCTATGCCCTCGGTCTTTATGTCGTTTGCGCATCAAACCGCCGCCATCATCAGAGCGGGGTGGGCGGAGTTAGTATCAGTGGCAAGTGGCTGTCGAACCCGCCTACTTTTATGAACTCTGCTCAGCGATTGGTTCATAACTTCTTTTTTTGTAATTTCTTTTTCTAGCCAATAGAAACACAGTTTGTGATTGACGTTTATTATGCTGATAATAATCAGGATTGCCTTGTTTGTTTACTTAAAGAAAGGTAAGAACTTATTCAAGTAGCGACTGAAGTTTTAATTTGTTTATTAAATGCTTAGGAATATCCATTAGACTTAAAATGATGAGTGTTTAGGAAGTTTCGTATTCACTAGTAAATGTTTACGCAAAAGTGAGATCAACAGAATCAATAAAATAAAGATATTTTATCACATTTGGACTAGTTTTACCACAACACCATCTAATTTATTTCTCTTAGTTTTATATGATAAACAAGACAAAAGTAATGTTTTTAAATTACAATCAAAATTCACCATTTCTCTGTGAATTTTCAAATGAACTTTTTTTTAATCAAAGTGTCCTTTTAATCAAAGTGTTTACCAAAGGTTTTATTTCTTTAAGAAACGCTTTTTGGGCCTTTTTCTGAAGATTTATGTTGTTCTGTTCTGTAGTAATCATAGAGAAAAGTTCAAATTCTTATTAAACCTTCTGCTATTTTCCATCTGTCCTCTTCAGAAGTGATCAGTAACCGCCATGGCTCGTACCAAGCAGACCGCCCGTAAGTCCACTGGAGGCAAAGCTCCACGTAAGCAGCTGGCCACAAAGGCAGCGCGTAAGAGTGCCCCTTCCACTGGTGGGGTTAAGAAGCCCCATCGTTACAGGTGAGTGTAATAAAAAAATATATTTTATTTAGTTTATGAACTAAAAGGCATATTTTTTTAAGTGGTGTTCTTCTGTTTGTTTATTTATACTATTTTTTCCAGGCCTGGTACTGTGGCTCTGCGTGAGATCCGTCGTTATCAGAAGTCCACTGAGCTGCTGATCCGTAAGCTGCCCTTCCAGCGTCTGGTGAGAGAGATCGCCCAGGACTTCAAAACCGACCTGCGTTTCCAGAGCGCGGCCATTGGAGCCCTGCAGGTCAGTATTGACATATTAGGGTTGAAGAGATTGGAAAACTATATAATTTGCTGCTTTTAATATTATACAAATATTAAATTAAAATTGAAAGTCTAACAAAAAATGAAAATGTTTTATGGTATAACAAGAGGTCAATAAAAATACTATTAATTTTTCAATGTTAAGTTAACATTTAGAAAACTGAGAAAGAAAAAAATCTGCAAAGCCAGGAACTTAAAACTTGTAATGGTGAAAAGTGAGTTATGTACCTATTCATAATACACAGTATTAGTATGGTAAATTGATAATTGTATGGCAAAGTTTTCCATAAATGTGAAAACATTCCTACCTACTTGCACTGTATATTGGAGTTATGCATTTGTTCAATCACTTCATGTAATAGCTAGGCCTGCCGCGATAAACGATAAATCAGTTAATCGCATGATAAATTAAACCTATCGACCTCATTTTAATTATCGGCTTTATCGTCTCTTCCTGTCTTTTTTTCTTTCTGTTAATGACACTGAATGAAAAAAGGCTCAACTCCGGTGCTCTTCCTTAGTGTAATGTCCAGCGCACGCTACACGAGTCATTGGTGGACTGTCGGCCCATTTTCAAAACCTGACAGAAATCCTAGGTATAACGGTTCGATCGGGTTCGTCGTGCCGTGTGGTGTCCAGCCACATGGGCACAAAATAATGCCTACAAGTCCAGTTAACTAATTTTAAAACCAGGCATTAATCAGTGCTTTATTAAAATCTACCTGTGATGGGACAGCAGGGATTGAGCGTAAAGTCCTGACTGAATGAAAATCATTATAACCTATTTATGTCACGTTAACGAAGAACAGCTGAAAACCTACCGGGTTTATCAACTGCGGTAGCAATTTGGCTCCAACTCCTCCCTTTGTCATTTCTATATTCTTTGCACAAAATGTTGAATAAATATTTATGTTGTTTCCAAATATCATCTCCAATGTCCGCTGGACTTCGGGTTGCGCCATGTCAGCTGTTTCGGATTGCCCTCCGTAATTTCCCCTCAAAAAGCACAGAGGAGAATCCTTGCTTTCTGATTGGCTACCTGTCACATTCAACGGGCTCCATTGAAGCTTCCAGTCGGGGAAAACCCCTGATTTAGATCAGAGCGGCCACGACGATCTACGTAACCCACCACACACTACAGGATGATCGGTTACGAAATCACCAGCGACAATATTGGATCGGCCAACGATCTAAGATTGTCATAAGGAGAAAATAGGGGCAAAAAATCGTGTAGTGTGAACTACTGCATTAGGTAGTCGGATGTGCCCATCTTCTCTATTTAAATCTAGTGATTACTGAAGGGCAATATAGTATACAGATTTCATATCTGCACTCTTTTGGTTGAATGCAGTATTTATTTCCACTTTGGCTTTATGTTGTTTAGTTTTTATTCAAGTACGTTTTTTGTTAATGGAGACTGAGAATCCTTTTTATTTTTGTTTTTGGTTGTTTTGTTTAGTTTATTAGTTCCAGTGTTATGTGTTCTTTTGAAAATAAAGTGTATCTATCTATGGCAGGAAATCGCATGCATTATTAGTCAATATTATCGTTTATCGCAATATTTTTTTAGACAATCGCTCGGCAAAATTTGTTATCGTGACAGGCCTAGTAATAGCTGCTATATTTAAAACATAATGAAGTTATACAAAAGACTCAGTGTTGAAATTAAACAGAATTTGGTTCAGATTTGTATTAGTTTAAGGATGAGTGCATTCATGCAAAAACATGGCATGTTAACAGCTGTGTGTATGCTTTTGAGGACCACAGTATTGTTAACATTAAGGATTCAGTTACTATTTTGACATATTTCGACTGTACAAATGATTTGTGTCCCACTCCTGTCCTGCAGGAGGCCAGTGAGGCTTACCTTGTGGGTCTGTTTGAGGACACCAACCTGTGCGCCATCCACGCCAAGCGTGTCACCATCATGCCCAAAGACATCCAGCTGGCACGTCGCATCCGCGGAGAGCGTGCCTAAAACACTTTCTCTTCGTCTTCACCTCTGTTCCTTCCCTTCCTTCCTTTACTATTCTGTCTTTCCGTCCCTCCGACCTTCACAAGCCGCCTCACCCCCTCTTTCCCCTCTCCCTTCCCTGTGTTAGTAGTGTGTAGAGGAAAGCTGATTATATTATAATGAAAGTGTATAGTTGTGTTTTCTTAGTGCTCTCGGCAGCAGACTTCTAGGGTACTCTATTTTTGTGCATGTACCAACTCTGGGATGACGAGTCCGGATCAAGCACACATTCCCTTGTTTTGTCCTGCCTGTGATTGTGAGGGAGAAAACAGTTTGTGGCCGCAATACGGACAACCACAGATTGTGAAAATGCAACTGAGGAAGGCTGGAACAGGTGGGGAGGACAGGTCTGTTTCTGCTGGGGGGTCCGGTCTCCGCAGCAGGGTGCTAGAAGAACTCGCTCTTTCCTCTTCCCCTGCTTTCTGCCTTCCTCCAGCTCCACTCAGACACAGGCAGAAACAAGGGGGTGTTGGCTGAGTGTTGGCTCTCATCACCTCAGAAGCTTGTATACAGTCCATTTTTGCTTACCATATTGATCACTGATGTTCTCTGTCATGTCAAGATTTTCTTTTGATTATTATTATTTTTTTCTTTCTTTTTGCTCAGATTAGTTGTTGACAACTGAGATGGGGGGATGATTCAGAATAAAAGGCAGAACAAGGAGGCAGATTTATTATTTTTTCACTGAAAATTATTCTCCTGACCTGTTCTGACGCCAAGGCCTGATCCTTGTCCTATAGGCCTTCATTTCCTAACAAACTGAAATTTCTTATCTCGCCTATTTTTTTTTGTGGTGTTCACATTGGTTATGTACCTAAAGCCAAAGCAGAACGTGTCGGATATCTTTTGTAGCAATTGTTCACGTAAAATAGAACACCTTTGTAAATCAAAGGTTTGCGGATGTTCTCTAAAACCAAAATCTGTCACAGAGTATAATTGATGTTTTTTAGAAAAAACAGAGAAAAAAAATCAACAAAATGTATCTTTGATTCATGTGAAACAGATAATAATGCTAACCTTTTTTTTTCTGTATACGTCCCCCTGTGCAGAACTCTTTTCCCCTTTGGATCAGTTGATCATGTTTCTCAGGTCACATTATTTTAATTTGTTTTTTTGTTCAGTTTTGATTCTTCCTCTTATTTTGTTATTTTTCTTTCCTTTTTTTATTTTAAAAATGTTTGAATAAACAATGTTTGTAATTTCCAGATTTGTCATATAAGGTGGTAATAAATGGATGTTACACACATGCTTCTGTGTCAAAAGTGTCACCTTATCCTAAAATATAATGACAAAATGAACATTATTTATGCCAAATAATAAACAAAGTTCAGATTTTTATGAGGCAGACAGTGTTTGACATAGCTACTGAAACAACTAGAAATATGTTTGATATTTTACAACTCGGTCTCTCTTGGTAACATGTCTTCTCCAGTTCTACCTCTAGGTGGCAGTGAAGCACAGTTTACACATTTTGAACTCTGGGCGATCCATCAATTGCAATGATTTACAGTTGTGGTTCATTTGTCGGGGGAAAATAAAGTATTAAAAATATAAAAACGGCAAGGATTTAAGAAAAAAAGATTTATTTGGACTTTTTTGTATTTTTAGTATATCATGTTGACATATTAGTAAAATTTCTCAGACTTGTAGCTAGCGAATCCTTAAGTGTCAACTACACTTCTTATTTTTCATCAGTTACACCAGTAACATAAAGACAAAAACCCAATGAGATGTCAGATGCTAGCATTGTAATTAACATCCTTCTCTGGGTCGACATCATTCCCCTCAAAAGTGTTTCATTTGATCCTTCTACTTCCTTGATTAAAATGGATAAAGCCGTGCCCCCGGCTATATTCATTTCAATGAAATGGGCGCACATAGACACACATGCAGCCATGTCGGCATGGCCTCAGAAACACTCATTACAATGGAGCACATAGAAAAACAAACATCTAATCAAACACCAGCCTTTAATCCTGTTGTTTTCAATGGGCACCATGTGCAAACACAACAGCAACCTGAAATCTGTAAAATTACAGCGTAGCGTTGTCTCACTTCTGAACACACTCAAAAAAATAATTTTAATGAGCTGAAATAATTTGCCACTGTGAGGCTTTATGTTGCTCTTTAAAAGTTAAATTGTCACAAATTCTGCCTTAGGTAGCCGAATCGTTTTTGTTTTAGTATTTTATATGCCATTTTAGCTGGATGGCAAAAGCAAATGAGATGGATTAGCAGGGCTTGACAAAAGCTGATGGTGTCATCAGGACATTCTACTTTAGGATATCATCTCTGCTGTCTGAAAATGTAGTTGTTAGCATGTCATGACCTTCATACAGTCTTTAGTCAGAGGCATCTTTATATTAGCTGTAATACTGACTGCTATTGGAGATCCTTCCTGTCCACAGTATCACCATTCACAATGACACTTTGAAGATATTTGGTTGATATGAGTGACAACATTTCGTTTCCCTTTGGGGTAAATAAAGTATTTTAAATTGAATGAAATTAACTGGTTTAGCCACAAGTCCTAATAATTTAAGCTTGCTAGAAATTTTGCAAGAATTATTGGGAAATAAGTATATAAACCTTTTCTCTTCTAGTATAATTTAATAGAATAGATCAGTTTAGAACAGATTGACAGATTAGAATCTTGTTACTAATGTTTATATATTTTAACAAACTAGCTCTTATTTATGGTCCTCTAAACATGGAGAATAAACCAGGAGCAAAATGATCGTAAAGTTGTCTGGAATCTATTAATATAGTTCTGTAGCTTCAATGTAAAATGTGAATTGTGGAAATATTTTTGGTTAATTCAATAGATCTGATGTATAATTTCCATCCATTTTCAAATCAGAATCCTTAGAAATAGGTAAAGCAGCTAGTTCAATTGTTTTTACAATGTAACTATTCATCTAAATATGTTAAATTCTGAGAAATTTAACATATTTAATAGGATTTTTTTTAAAAAAATCCAAGTACTCTCTTCTGTAATATTGAAACAGTTGGGTATAAAACTGTAAATAATATTAAACCTGAAATTTATTTTTATCAAACTGCTACTTAAACCACCACATACTGGCATGACAGCCTCAGGGTGAAGAAGCCTGCTAGCAAGATTTAGTTAGTATTTAGTTGTGACTAAAGTAGCTAAAGCTGTATACAAACTTAAATTCTTGATATATGGCTAAACATTTTCTCAACAAAATGTCAAATGACAGTTTTAACCCGTACTAAGTTTACATATCTATTTATTAAACAACATGATGTTAAATGTGTTCAAAAAGCATTTGCTACCAAAAAAGTAGCTCATGTTGTTGCATTCGCAGGCTAATAAGGTTTGTTAAAATCTCATTATTTTTAATGACTAATATTCAAACAGCTTGGTTATTTTCAGGAAACTCCTAGAAGGAAATATGTTGCTGATTGATTAATTCCTGCACATTAAAACTGTAGCATTAGTTTAAAAAAAAATGCTACTACTAACAGTGGAAAAAGGGTGAATGGTAAATAACTATTATTACAAATGCAGAATAACTAAAAAATTATATTAACGCTGCTTAAGCCTAAATTTACAAGGTCCCCATTTGTATTTCAGGCCAAAATTATTCTTAACATCACAATTAATAGTTTGTTCTGCAAAATGTTGATGAAGTTAATGAGGACTTACTATGATGAATATATTCCATCAATGTTGTGGCTTTTCAGAATACACTTTCTGTTGGAGTTTTGGTTGATGATTAACAATATATGGATCCTCAAGTCTCTTAACTATCCCAGCATGAGTCCACTGCATTTAATTCACACATTAAGCTTTTATTTAGCAGAAGCCTTTCTGCCATGTTGATGAAGGAGCATCTCGTGAGGCTGAAGTCACAGATTACCAGCATGGTGCCCCATTTACTGCGCGTCTAATGGACTCTGCTGCTCGTCCATCCAAAGATGTATAGTATATTTTTTTTGTTCTCTAATTGTATGTCTTTGTTCATGTGTGTTTGTGTGCCCGCGTGTGTTTGTGTACAAAAGCGCGTTCACCTTCCCCAAGGTCTGCGTAGTGCCGCTCCATCTGTGGCACTCAGGGGATTACAGCCAATCTGTCTGTCTGCTGCTCAAAGTGCTGACCGTCAGACCAGCAGCAGATTAACACAGTGCTGGGATTGGGATGGTGGGGGAGAGGGGAGGTGTGGACTGGATGCTAAGGAGGAGGAGGAGGAGGAAGAGGAGAGAGATGTGTGTGTTGGGAGGTGGGCAGGGGGTAGGCTGAGAGGGCAACCCTAGATTAATACACACCTGGTGGAGTGTATGCATGTGTACATTATACGTCTTAATGAATGTTGGGCGTGGGTGCAGGGGGGACTTCACAGTGAAGAGGGACAGAAGGAGAGGGAGGACAGATGTACACGGAAGAGGATGGGGGTCAAAGCTGAGACACATCTTGGTTGCTGAAGTTGTTGTAGTTGCTGTATTTTTGCTTTTGAGGTGGAAATTAATAAAGAAGCAAAGTCCCAACTTAACTTAAAATCACAAACCGATGGTTGGACTTTGTTTTAGGGAGCAAAATTCCTGGTATTGGTAAATCTTCCAGATTAAGTCCCAGAACTTCACACTGCCACCAACTTTAAGTCTGATTGTGAATTTTTTTTTTTTTTTTTCTGTTCACAGGGTGAAAACCTTCCAAAAGGTTCTGCTGTTTTCCCCATCAGTCCACCAAATATTTTGTTTGGCAAATGTGAGACAGGTTTTTGGTCAGTTGTGCTTTTGGCCTTGAAGCTCTCCCAGCTATCCCATTATGGCTCTGTTTCTCTTTTTTATTGTTAAATAATGAACCGTGACCTTAACGGAGGCATGAGATCCCTGCAGTACTACAGATGTTGTTCTGAGTTGGTTTGTGACCTCCCAGTCGAGCCATTGATTCACTCTTGGAGTAATTTCAAAGGCCAGCCACTCCTGGGAAGGTTTTCCACTGTTTTTATGTTTTCCTTACTTTCAGACACCAGCTCCACTGTGGTTTGTTGGTGTCTCAAAACCTTAGAAATTTCTTCTTTGTTTTCCCTACAATTCCCAGACTAATCGAGAAGTCAATGACTTTGTTTCTCTTCTGCCTGC